GGGGTATGGTCAATCACTTTGTTTAAATCTGATTGCAGGGTGCCTCTGTGTTGCGGATGGCGAATGACTTCATTGGGGAGGATACCTTTCTGAAAGGTCTTAAGGTAACTTGGAAATGTTACAAGGTTATACCACATTGTAAGCGAAAAATGTGAATAAATGTAATGGTGTTACATGTATTTCTTGAGCAAACAATACATAAACAGAATTTAGTGAATTAATTTTTGATTTTTTTGGTTTTGATTAGTCTTATCTGCGAGGCTTGCAGTACAGGGGTGCTGAGAACAGTGATCTTTGGTATCATGTCAACAAGGTTTGTAGAGTCTTTCTGATTACATACCTAATGAAATGCTTGTTGGTTGTAATGACAGACCAAATTGGTTAAAATCGCTGCAGTTTACCCTGCTCTCATAATAAACATCCCTGTGACTCTGTCATTTACTGAGCTGTAGTGATTGGATCTGCAAGCATAAACAATGCTGCATTATGTGGTATCTTAATGATTTGAATGCTGATGGTAGAAAGTAATGATGAGTGAATCCCTCTGTGAAATGTCAGGAACACATGAACAAATAATGATAATTTGCCAGGATGGATAAACCACAGCCAGAATATACAACATTCACAAGTGTCAGGAATAGCAAACGTTCACGCGGTTACTCATTCAGGCAATGATGGAGGACGGAGTTGATCTTGGAGATGGCATAACTGACATAGCCACTGTCATGGACACATGGACCAATCAGATGGGTTTCCCAGTTGTCATGGTAACAAGGACATACTCTGGAGAAACAAACAAGATCACTGCCTCAGCTACACAGAAGAGATTCCTGACAGACCCGTCTTCTGACACGACATCACCGTATCCAGACCTTGGGTGAGATTACACTATATTACCCATTACATAATTGACATGAAATGTTGAATGTAGCACCTAAAATGCAGAATAACGTGACGATAAAATTGTTCAGTTATTCTTGAAAGTGTGGGATGTTATTTTGGGCTTTTTTTTGTAAATTGTCAATGAAAGATGGCCTTTTTTAGATAATTGAAAGGCTTTTGGGAAGGAATTGTGAATGGCTTTCCACTACTGAAACCTTATTTTGTTGTTGTTTATTTGCTGTAATAACGGGCCAAGTCTAGGTGTCCAAATTGAATGCAGTCTCGATCTGCAGTTGTAATTATGAGAGTCACTATATATTATGTCGGAATAATGGAAGACATGCAGAGAAAGCTTTTTGTGCAGAAATTAAACATTATAAGTTGTTTCCATTTTTGTGAATTTGTAGGTATGTATGGCATGTACCCTTGACTTACACATCTGGAGTTAATCCAAACTTTGCCAACCCAGAAATCCAGTGGATGAGACCAGAGGATCAGATCAGTAAGCTCATTAACAACTTTAAGCAGATGATGTATTGCAAACATGTTTTTTGTTTGTTTTAGGTTTTGCTATTAATTTTAGATCTTTGAAGTTTGAATGGAATGAGTTCAACATTGTACGTTTTAGCGCAAATAATTACATCATTTATGCAGTGGTTTCAATGAAATCATGTTCTTGAAGTGAATTAAAATCAGAAGAGAAAAAAATCCCAATTTCGAAAAAAATTTGGAGTGAGGATATTTTCACACTGACATGAAGACCTGATAGCATATTAACTCAGAAGATAGTTGCAGTTAGAGAGGCCATGCTGTGGTAAAAGGTAGTTGAACTGAATAAATTTAAAGGGTTAAAGACCAAGGCTGTCTCACTTTGCCTAAACCATTGAGCATAATCTTTAAAGGGTAAAGAACATTTCCTCATGATCAAAGAAACAAAATGTTTAATAAATTCTATTTTGTTTGTGGAACAGTTTAGGCATTTTGTATAAGAGTACAATGAAATCACGTCCAACAGCCTACATTAACAAAAGTGAATGGATGTTTACTGTTTTCCCGGCTGTCTTTATTCAACAGCTGATGTCATCTTAGATGGTGCTGGTGGTGATGATAACTGGCTCTTGGTCAACGTCAATGAGAGAGGTTTTTACAGCGTGAACTATGATGAGAGAAACTGGGCCTTGCTCAGTGCACAGCTGCAGACAAATCACATGGTATGAATCAGGAAATCAGTCAGATTCGGAAATCAAATTTCTATATAGTTGAAAATTCTGTTGAGGGCGGGACATGAATTACTCAACAAAATAGATGATAAAAAGCATGTTTGCCTGAAACATAATTGCTTACCAAGGAGACAGACCAACAGTTGTAAAGGCTGGGAAGGGTTGACATTCAAAGTGGTATATTGCATAAAAGCGACCTCTGAAAAAGTATCAATGATGCAATGGCTCAAAGAAATAAATATTTAGTATGAATACTGTGTTTTAAGAAACAGTCAGAGAGGATGTTAATAAAATTCCCAAATCTACATGTCTTATAAGATTTTTTTTAACATTCCAGGCGATTTCTATACCAAGTCGCTCAGCCCTCATCTATGATGCCTTCAATTTAGCAAGGGCAGGGGATCTCAGCCAGACTAAAGCACTGGATCTGACATCTTACTTGGATAAGGAACAAGATTATGTTCCCTGGTATACTGTTGATCGCGTCATGGATTACATTGGTGATAATTTGGCATTGGAAGATGCTAATGAGGACTTCATCGTAAGTACTCAGCCAAGGTTTGGTTTGTTTTTGTATTTTTGTCCAACCAAAATGTGCTTTACTGCAAAAGCACATTTTTTTTTGGACTTTCACCAGGCTAATGTACCATTAGCTGATAAGTGGAGGTACTTAATGAACACTGATGATATACTACTGTGTCTTACAAAATCCAACATCAAAACCTTAGAGCGTTACAACAGAAAGAAATCTGTCCTGTTCTTTGGCATCTGGGACATTATATTTTGAGCACTGTATCTGACAACATGCTGGAAATTTGAGTGCTGGAACCCGATTTAGATGTACACAATCAATGGGAAAACAGCTGGGGCTTTGAGGGAGCTTTTTGGCCAGAGGGACATTATTCAAGGAGTACTATAGAGGATGTCTCCAGTAACAAGTCTTCTTAGTGAATTCTTTCTGTAGACTTGCACTTGGAGATCTTGAGAGCTTTAGTAAGAAGAGGAACTGTTGTAAAGAACCTGAGCAACAAAGAGCCTATTAACAGGTTTTTATTTGTGCAGGAATACATGAGGAAGAAAGTCACGCCAATGTATAACTATGTAGGATGGAATGATGAAGAAGACCATTTGAAAAGGTTGGTGAAAGTTCTGCCATTTTTTTGGCAAAAAACACTTATTCATTTAATAATTATATACTTCAAGTACACGCGTATTCACCTAGATCACCTAAAAAGAGCCTTCTGGGTTGCTTAAATACCATAACGCAACCAGTGCTGAATCACTGTTATTCGAGGTTACCATTTCAATAAAACATAAATTGAGTTTGTGTAACCGCAGAATCGTTGAATTCATTGCATTATAGAAACTAATGATAGAAATTTTGTAATAGCATTAATAAAAAGTGACAAGCAAATTTTAGGAAAGCTACCTTGCTGTGTAAAGAAACAGTAAAAAAAAGGGAACTAATTTCCTAAAAAAATTTTTAAGGTACATTCTGTACAAAATTACCTTCTAGTGTGCATTTATAGATTCTTACATTGGTAGGATGTAGACTGCCTGTGCTTCATATATTGTGGGACGGCATAAGTATACTTAACCAGTGCACTCTCCTGAGCTTGTCTGAAACAAAAATTTAAGATCAGCCAAGCATATGCATCAATACTTTGTTAGTAAGAAGGCCAAATAAGTTAAATATAAATATAAATTTCCATGGCCATGTTACAATATGTGCCTGTCTCAAGTAGTCAGTGGTGGGTAGCCGTGTCAGTCAGGTAAAATACAAATATAAAGAATCAGTAGCACTTGAATGACTAACTATTAAAGTAAAACTCTGCATAAGCTTTCGTAGCTACAGCTACTTCATCAGATGCAAGTAGCTTGCATCAAGCTTGATCAAATAGTCATAAAAGACCTCACATAGATATTCGTATACATGTGGTGCATATTGTACGATGTGGTTGCTCAGAATGTGATGAGTTGGGTTCGGTGTGAATTTTGGGCTTTTACACTGAACTCTCTGACAGTATTGTGCAAACATAAATGAAGATTTTAACTTTTCGATCGAACAATGGAAAAGGGACCAGATTTCATAGGATTCTAAATTTTATGTGATACCAAAAAAGTGTTTATGATCAGCTAGCCATTGCTTTATCAACCGTTGAAGACTGGCCATATGATGATCTCTTGACCAATGGGAATGGCTATACTCTCTAACTTTGTTCAATAAATGGTTAACAGGTGTGACCTTCTGTATGTAATGAATTGGTAGGTTGAGTCGTTCAAGAGCCATCAGTATGGCGTGTGGATATGGCAATACAGATTGTATCAACAAGGCTAAAGAGATGTATGCCAACTGGATGGACAACACTACTAATACTGTGTAAGTTTAGTTAGCAATAATTCATGTACATTAAATTGCACATGACTTGGATATTAATAGAGGATTTGTGATTCTACAATAAAACAATCTGAATCTGAATCTTTCCTGATTCGCACATTATTGAACAAGTGAATTTTTTGGAAATTGGGTGAGTTTTTGTTTTCCTTTGCAGCATTGAAGCCAATCTTCAGTCTACAGTGTTCTGTACAGCCATCTCTGAAGGCGGTCAATCTGAATGGGATGCTGCTTTTGCAGCTTATACTGATTCTACCACAATTTCTTCTCTCAAAGATGTCTTGGAATCAGCGATGGCATGCAGCAAAGACAAAGCTGTTCTCCAAATGTAATAATATTTGTAGTTCTATCTCACCAGGTTCTTTACGGATGTATTACTCTGACCAGAGTTAATGACATGTAAGGGCAAGGTTGACAGTCTTAAATTTACGAGAGAATCTCATATGACCTGATCGGCCATTTCAGTGAACAACTCACAGTCTTTGAAATTGCTTATACATGTAGGAGTATTATTTGCACAACATGAAAGCTTTCCATTTGGGTTTGATCAGCCTTATGGTTATATCTCCCCAATGTTGTAGTCAAGACCATCACAAGACCAGACACAAGACCATGTACAAGACCAGTGGCAAGTAACAGGGTGAACAATGACAAAGGAATACTTTTGTTTGCAGTTCATTTGAATAGCTTGTGACTTGAATTCAGACTGGAGGTCTAGTGTTGGGGTTGGGTGTCTTACATGGTCATGACATCAATCCTGGACGACTTCTCCCAACGTTTAATTTTGTATATAACCATATACATGTATCTGTCTGTAGTGATACTTAACCCTCCTTCTTCATTTGATTCCAGGTATCTTAGTAAAGTTCTTGATACCGCATTGATACGATCCCAAGACGGCCAATCAGTTGTTTCTGCAGTAGCAAGTAATCCTGCTGGTAGGGCGTTGGCATGGAACTTCTTTGTTGAAAACTGGTCATTTTTCCGAGAAACGTAAGTTGAATATTGCTACCAAATTGTCTTGGCGCATTGGAGGAAGAAGTGCCATTGTGTCAGGTGAATACGAATCCAGTTGTCTAATTTAATAGAAAAGAGAGGGTGATCACTGCTCGCAGTGACTTATTGATGGAAGCCAGAGAAGGTTTGTATGCTGGTTGAACTGTTCCTGAACCATAGAGAGGTTGGTTAACTCGTTAACTCAAAATTCCTCCTTGCAAACCTTAATTATAGTTTTCTGACTATAGGATTATTTATCATGGTTTTGTTTTGAAGGTATGGAAATGGGGTGTTTCTACTGGATAATGTTGTTACTGCTGTTACCAATGACTTCAACACCCAAGCTGAGCTTGACCAGGTATTAAACCTTTTTGTCACCTTAGTCAGAGCACGGAGTATCGCTGTGGGGCTAGAAAAATTACAGGGCAAAAACTGTCTCTTCTTTTCATTGTTATGTAATTTGTCCTATTATTAATCAACAGGTGAAACAATTTATGGCAGACAACCCTGACCAAGGCACTGGCTCTAGGGCATTCACCAAGGCTGTGGCTGTGATCAATGCCAATATCAGATGGATGGATCAAAATTATGAAGAAGTTGCTAAGTGGTTGAGACTGAATGCGTAGGTGAACTTCAACCCAGTGAACATGAAGCTCATTGTCGTAAAGTGAATGAACTAAGTGAGCTTGTACCCAATCAAGACGAAGCTTACTGTCATAAACTGAGTGAACTAACTTAGCTTTTGCCAAATCAACCTGAAGCTCACTGTCATAAACTGAATGAAGTGGGCTCATACCCAATCAGAATGAAGCTCACTGTCATAAACTGAATGAACTAAGTGAGCTTCTACCAAATCAACACGAATACACAAGGCTTACTATCATAAACTGAATAAACTCTGTGAGCTTCCACCCAATTTATACAACATTCACTGTCCTATACTGAATGAACTAAGTGAGCTACCCAATCAACATGATGCTTACTGCAATAGACTTATAATGGGTGAGATTCTACCTAGTCAACACAAAGCTAATTATGTTTCATCTGCAGGTAAAATAATTGCAACTGTTTGGTAAATCTGTTGTTCAAACTTCATAAATTGAATTAATAATGTAGCAACACTTCAAATTGGAGAATTAGAGGTATTTAGATTGGCGAATTTATGCCTGTTTTCGCAAAGACAAAATATATAGGCCAAATGTTGATGTTTAGATTGATTTTTTGGTTGCTTAGATGAAGGAAATATTGCACCTTTGCATAATTCAAATATTGAAAATATGAAAGTTACTGGTTTTTTTCAGTGTTAATATTATAGGCCATTTGTAGAGTAAATCAGGTAGATTTGCCTTCGAACATAGTTCTATGTGTATTAAGGATCCTCATTTCAGTTTTCACCAAAAAATTGTCACCAGGGGTTTTGCTACAGTTAGTGATTTTCACATGTAAAAATTTTTCTTTCTGATAAATATGTTTCAATAGGAATAGGTTAATTCACATTCCCCTATATCTTGGAATGGCATATATATCATAAATTTTATAACGGTGTCTTGATCATGTTGACTTTTGCATGAAAGGTTCTTGTTGTTTTGGAATAACAATTTCTTGATGTTATTTTAGAACACTTGCCTGACCTTTCAGTATTACTGTGTTTAATGGTTTTCGGACTTATTGATATACATGCAAGGCTGAGAGTCAGATAAGAGATTTCTGGTAACTTTAGACAGTGCATTTCATATTAGTTTCAAATTTATTGCCCCTTATTCACGATTAGTTCATTCACGGTACATGATACTTGAATGTACTTTTGGTTGGAATTATCATACATATGATTTGAAGGCACTCGAATACAAATTTGTTGTAGGTTGCTTTTGCAAATTTCTGCCCCGTGTGTTTTTACTGCGTTTTATACGTCCGTGGTTCACCCAGGGATGTCTCTGGTTGGCCACACATCCTATATCTATGACTGGCTGTGTGGGTCCACACACAGTTGCATGATGAGTGTACATGCCCCTTTCGCTGAGTACCACTCTTTATTTTGCCCATCTGTTTCTCCAAATGTATGCAAGTAGTCCCAATTGTGAAGATAGCCGACCAAAAATACCATACCCTGCACGATATGCGGCAAAGGGGGACTCCCATATGATACACAAACTGTATTGTGCCTAATGCACCCCCCTCAGAAATCTGAGAGGAATTCCAAAGATTTCATCAACACAAAAGAAGACACAATAGGGGGTGGTCCTCCTTTGCCGCATATCGCGCATTATATGAAAAATACATCTGATTAGTTTCGGGAGGCATGTGTATGCTAAAATTCTCCGAATTTTGGACGTATATTTGTTGATTATTTGTAGAATGACGTCACACAGCAACTCTTCTGTGACTTTCTTTGTCTTGACGTCTAGGCGTTTGTTGTGATCATGGTGGAAACCAGGCTTCAGTTGCGTTTGTCCAGGGTTTGGGGAGAAAATTTCTGGATTTTGAGATTGATGCGAATTCCCAGAATAAATTTTGGGGGTAGTTTTTTTTCTTTCCAATACAGATCATTCTTTTTATTTACGTTACGAAAAATAATATTTGCGTTATCTTGATGGTTCGCTTCAGTGCGCACTGATACATGTATTTGGAGAGAGCCAATCACTAGCGCTTTTTGGTACTTTGCTTGGTACCCTGCTCATTGTGGTACTTGCTATGCGGAATTTTGCCGGAGACCAGTTTTCCAGGTGCGGTGACAATGAGCACGCACGAGAACGCGTGTTTGGCCACGTTGGCGGGATTGTTTGAATGTGTCTTCAGAGGAGGTGAGTTTAAAGGTGAGATTATTTTTATTTCAATGTAGGTTATTTTGAACTTAGCATTGTTGGTTTTATATTGCTGTTTGCTATGGTTAAGTGCGCCCTATATTTAAAAAAGAGGACTCCACATAAGTGTTATGCATGCAGGCTGGGATTTTAACGGGGTTCCTTTGGTTTCTTTAGCTGTAGCAGTAATGGACAGACGAGGAACACTCCCGTGGACAGTTTTCTGGATTGTTACACACCAGGGATTTTATTTCTGACACATTGCTTAATTAAACAACTTAATGGAAACAGTTCACGTCTTATTCTGATATCTTTTGCATGTTTTAATGAATGTTATGTGTATCCACTTCAGCCTGAGCACAAGGTGCTGATGAGTCGTTGCTTACAGGACAACCGGCCTATCGGCATTTCTTGATGATGGCAATTGTTGAGGTGATTGTACTGTGATCTCTTGCTGCAGCCTTCTGGGTATTCCCCCAAAGGTATGATTCACTGATCGAGTCTCCTGTAAGCTCTTTCCTTCGTGTCCTATAGACCTAGCATAAGACCTACCCCACCTCTGTCTTACGGTATAGCATGTCTAAACAAGGTGTGATATCATTGTGTTTATTTGGAAGTCATCCTTGGTGGCTAACTTTATTTTGTGCCCAATACTGGCTGATAAATATATGGGGAGCCACAACACAGCTCAAACAATCCCAAATCCTATGATTTCAAGTGATTTCACATACAGTAGCTCTTGTCCCAAACGAATCCAAAGAAAAATGAGATAATTTGTTTTACATTTCTCTAAACGTCAAATGGTCTTGACTTTAGCCACTGAATTTGAATATGATAAATTAGTCGCCGTTCACGCAGTATGGCTAATTGTCAACGGCTACGAAACGAAACGTGATTTAATCGAGCAAGCAAAACTGGACGTGCAAAACCAAAAGCACCGCGTCTATTTAGTTAGAAAGACCGAGACCGGCAAACAAGTTTACAAGCCAAATGAAATATTTACTCCCAAATATTTACTGGCTGCTTAAAAATGAAAAATACATAGAAACCAGACAAATATTAAAAGACATTATAGACCAAAAAACTAAACGTAAATTGTTATTTTTGTCAAAACACGACAATTCAATTAACTTGATAGATTCGTAGGGTTGCTTGCGCTGTTTAAATTCTGACTGTTTATTTGAATGCACCGATTGTTAAGAGTGTCACGACTGCAACCATTGTAACGACTGCACTAAATGCCGTAATTGCTCTACTTGCGACGAATGCGGCAGATGTATAAATTGCGTATTTGGTTTCAATTCATACGACTGTGAAAATTCAAATGCCTTGGTCAGTTGCGAAGACTGTTACGAGTGCGGCAGTTGTATCGAATGTTTCAGTTGTACCGATTGTACATCTTGCGTAAATTGTATCGAGCTAGAATGCACGAGTCACGTGGTGCTCGTAGGCGGCAAGCATAAGAAGCTTAGGCACGCGCTAGAAAACGAGCCACTGCCTGATTCAGCGTCTAAACTCGATTTTGATTTATTTGAAATTGGGTTGATAGTTGAATACGATGTTGATGTCGAAGATTTAACCAAAGTAGAAATTCCACCCGACTTAATAGACGCGGCCGATTAAGGTCAATAAAAATGAGAAAAATTTCTGGTAAAGCTGAAAAATCAGAACCATGTCAACCCAAATTTACATCGTTTCAGACGACTACGAGCGTCTCAATGCCGGCAATAGCGACCCAATATCACATACGGCCCTTTTGACGCAAGCAAATTAACCATTTCAAATCCCGTAATTAAAGAAGGCACCCATCTAAGTCAATGCTGCTCTCCCAATTATTATACGCACGGAGGTGTAGAAAAACGCCTGTTAATTATGATGCCAGGCACGACCTGTTATGGCATAAGTCCAGTGTACAAATATGGCACGCGGGATAAAACCTCCGAAAACATCGTAGGTCGTCGAATTTATTGAGAAACAGGCCGAAACCAGGTCCATCATGCCATCATGCACGATAAACGCTTATAAAGCCAGTCGCGAAATCGACGATTTAAATAGGGTCGAATACGTCGTTAAACCAGCGTACACCGACAAACGTTGCATGTACGTTAAAATTTATTCTTACGCCTCGTTATTTGACCATAGAAAGCGACCCATCAAAGCGTCAAATATCGATAAATTTATAATACAAGATGCGATGCTCAATCATTCCTTTAGGTCTATCCAAAAGACGTGTATTACGGAACCCACGGTTCGCTTTCTTGTGGTGCCAGCGATAGATATACCGCCATATATACTGAACCGCCATGCTGAAAATTAGAAATGACGGAATCATTTCAAATAACTCGGCATTGCAAGTGTTTGGGGGATTTGGACGTCCCGAAACTGAATCTGAATCTGGATCTGAATTGGAAACGCCTGTGAAATGAAAAGTTGATTAAATTTGAGAAATAGCCAAGTATAATTTTTAAACCTCAGTTATTCTCCGGAATAACTGAGGTTGTTTTTACTAAATGACAATTATGGACAAAGAAGAGATGTGCTTACACACAAATAGAATGGAAGTGGACTTTAAACTCGTGTGTGGCGATTGCGGGCTAGTATTATGTCCCATTTATTCAGACGAGGTAGAAAACGTAGGCAGCTAATATCATCAACGTTTCGTCTATAAAAAGCCCAAATGGAAAACGAGCAAAACGCTTAACGGACTCGACGTCGAGTTAAACGCCGAACAGGCTGGACTCGTCGAATGTATTAAAGTAAATCAAATATTAGCGCAATGCGAGAGAAACTTTTTTCAAAAATATCAAACGGCTTTTGACCGCGTTAAACTACGTGGAATACGAAATCGAAGGGATTGGCGCCACTTCAGCAGCTATAGGAATCCCCGCTATTTTAGGAGTAATTACCGACCCCGTCGGCCTAGTAAATGCCTGACCAAAAAAACTAAAAAGCACGATCAAATTCGCGTGCTTTGCGATGTTAAATTAAATACCATCGACGAATACGTATCACACACGATCGAAGACGGTGACGTGTCTCAGGAGGAATTTGTATTAATTTTATCTGAGCTTAAAATGTTTAATGAAATGAAGGAAAAGGTTAGGTAAAGTACAAGTACAAAATGGAAAGAAAGTGAATCGACGAGTAAAGAAGAATTTGAACGACAAGTCAACGAAAAAGCAGAAGCGCTAGCCAATGAACGGACAGCCGTTTTTAAAAAAGATCTTATGAAAAAATTTGGCGAGTAACTTTGCACAAGCCCGTTAAATATGATGACCCGCCTCCGGCTTAACCGCACCGCCGTTTTAAAAAGCTCTAATTTAAAAGATGGGCCACAACTTTAGTCATTTGGCAATCGCGGTAAATAAAGACAACTGGTTTTCAACCGAGTTTCCAAATTTAACCGCGGCGTATAAATTACTGAAAGTGAAAACGGACGAAGCGGTCAATCGTTGGGCAAGCGATCTAATTTCATTTTACCAAAAACAGTTTAATTTCGCAATGTACTGCGCAACAACGGCACGCGGGGTGGGTTTCGATCTATTATCCGATCCTGATCCATACGTGTCTGCTTTATTTAATTTCCACGTGTATTATACTGTGCGAAAAATATTTTACGACTGCGTGATGCCAATTCCGAGCGACGATGTATTTAACGCGTTACACAATACAAACGATCATAGGAAATTTATAGACACTTGTCTAGTATACGGCAATACCGGTTACGTGCCGAGTTAAAACGTTGGCGCCGTGTCAGCCAGCGATTTTGACGAAAAAGTAGGAGAAAAAGTTCCGAAAAAGAACCCGAAAACTTTACCAAAGCCGAACCTATTTTAACACCTAGTCCAGAAAGGGAGCCGTTAGACGCGCACAACGAAGAATAATTATCGTTGACGTTCGGAACGATTGCACTCGCGGCGGTCGCATTTATGTTGTACAATTTATTGACTTAAAAAAGCAAAAAAAATTACCCACTTTCTCAATGAAGAGAAAGTGGGTTAATTTTTTTTGCCCGGGTGAAGCTCTTTATATTTTGTTGCACGTAGGTCAATATTAAAACTTTCACGCCCACAA